ACACACACACACACACACACACACACACACACACACACACACACACACACACCAAATGGGCCTGTCTTCATCCGATTGGTCGGTCGCTCCACTCTTACCAGCAAATAACTTTATAGCAACTAAAGGGAGGAAGATATGGCAACAAGGGCTGTTTTTATTTATGCGAATGTTGGTTCAAAATGTAAAACACACTGGAGTGCTTATTACAAGACTTTGAGCCATCTGAAAACAATAACCTAATGACAACCTTTCCTAAAGGCTATAAGTTTGTACAATGATGCCGCACACTATTAAATATGTAATGGTTCAATGTGCCGTTTGCCCTCAGACTAATGGGAAGCCTTTTAAATTTAACCAGTTGTTAGCAGATAATCATAACAAAAATCATGACTCAACAGCGCAGCACTCCATCAGCTAATTAATGTACTGAGGATTACATGGTGGGTTAAAAAAAGCAACACTAACAGTCCCATTAATCTGCCTAAATACACCCACTCATGTGTTTTTCTGCTTCTAGTGCCACAAAAGTCTTACAACCATGGTCAACTTTATGTTTGTTTCWTTCATCCACATATTAATGCATCAACTTGATGCAATGTAAAACTTTATAAATACCATAAATGTACATATTTAAATGCCACAAATGCAATTGGTTTCCTCTGGGGTCGGCTTGGTTGGTATGAAAATATTAATTCAGAAGACAAAAGGAAGAGTGTGTGTGTTAAAGGGATCCCTGATTAGTTGTAACATTAGACTTTATTTGTTAAAGGGGCAATATCATGTAAAATCAACTTTTGAGTTTTATATCATGTTATAATGTTACACTCTCATAAATACATGCCCAAAGCCTTGCTTTGACTCATTCATGCATGTTTGAGAAATCCTGCAGCGTTTTTAGGCAGCCATGCTAAGGAGCAAAACGACAGGTGGGGACCAGAAACACCCCTGGGACGTGTCTTTAAGCCAAACTTCCTCATCACGGACCACATCTCCCCAGCCCCCACTCCACCCATGACTCCTGCAGGCTCTCGGCAGTAACAGAGCAAAAGTGAAAGTGAAACTTAAGCTGTCTGCTGAGATCCACTACTTCACACTCAGTGAAGCTCTTTTAAGATTCGAACTACATTTGAGGAAATGTATTTTCAGATGCCAAGTAAACTGGTCTTGGCGGAGGTTTGCACTCTCCGAGTGCTTCTAGTTTAAAAGAGTCACTTGTCAGATATTGTCCAAGATTAACCTTCAGGGTGGACAAAGCTCACTAGCAGCCTCAGACTGATGACCTATCCACATCATCATTTACCCAGAATGCTTTGCATGTCAATAAAATGGCAACGTTTGTGTAATATATTTTTTAACTTTTAGTTTAAAAATTATAAAACCTAAACAGCCTACAGTATTTTTACAGTTAAATTATATGTTTATCAGATAAAGTCTAATGTTATGACTAATCATGGATCCCTTTAAACTTTTGGTATTTTTTCCCCCAAGACGAGCGCTCCTTGCTGCAGACGAAGAACTAACCCTGGGAAATACCTACAAACTTTGCTGGCACAAATACTGGGTAAAAGGATGCCGCAGCATGGATACAACCATGGTAAAAGTCAGATTAGTTAGAAATGTAAAACCCCAAAATGACATAGTTGACCGTATTGTGATCCGTTTGACATTATAAGAGGTAAGAGCCATTCTGTGGCTCAGACTGAATGAGAGGCAGCATCAGAGCATCTATACGCATGTACTGTAAACTCACTGTTTACTCACCGTTTCTACTTTAATTAATAATTATTTATCACTCCACAGACCATCCCCTCCCCTGGTAATAGTGTATACCACAGTATTTTCTAAAGGTTATACCGCAGTATGAAAACGATCGATACCACCCAACTGGGGGCATAAAATCAAAAACCGGCCAAAATATGAAACTCAGGGTTTTAAATACTAAAAATAGAGCTGTCATTCCAACATATAGCAAACCTGTACTTTTGAGGTCATCAAGATTAGCCTTTAAACTCCCCTCAGATTAGCAGCCCCATTTCCCACAACTTTAATATTTGGAGTTAGAAGAGAAAAGCTATTTGAAAGCTGGACTCTCTAGAATTGATTGAGCTCATACCAAGGGAATTGTTTCTGTAGTCAATTGTAACCTCATTGGTTTATCACACAAGCGCCTATAGGGAAGCAGAATTAGGAGCCCCGTGGGCTTTCAGTTAGCAAATGTCTGCCTTTTCCTTTAAATCCATTTCCCTAAGAAGAATGAACACTAATGCACTGCAACTGAGTAAATTTGGCTGTCAGCACAGCTACACGGTTAATGTAGCTCAAAAATGGCAAACCTCCAGTGTGAAATCTCTTTTCAGCCATTCAAGGATGACAGACCATTTCACTGCAGCAACCAGGACTTTGTAAAAAAATAAAACATAAATAGGAAATGGGGATCATTTTTCAGTTAACTCATTAGATTCACCTTCTTCCATAAAGCCTGCATTTTATAATTACAAATTAATTTAAATGTCTGATTTATTTTAATTAGTTAACAAGTAATGTAAATATGTATCATTTCCCTTGAGATTCAGCAAAAAACACACAATCCATTTGTCTAAGACCTCGTCACCTGTCACATAAACTAAAAACTGTACTTCAGCTATTTGTCTTTTTCATTTACTATTGCTAATCCCAAAAGATCGCTTGCGACAACATCTACCATCCCTGTGGACAGCTAATCATCTGTTTCATTTTTTTAAATGGAAAAACAGTGTAAAGAGTAATTACTCACTCAGACATGAGCGTTTAGCAGCCGCACTGGCACCGCCAGAGCACAAGTTTCCTCCTCGATGCACCAGTTCCAGCTCCAAGTTGGTCCTGAGGTGACAGAATCATCAGCAGTTAGAGGAGTGAAACTGGAGCGTYATCTCTGCATTTTTAAACAGAATGATGACGACGCAGATCTTTGGATAGTCGATAAACATTTACTATTAAATACAATTAAAAAAAAACCACTTCTGATATTTCAGGTGTTGACTCTGCTGATTTATGTAGCTCTTATGTAACTAATGTTTAACTGTAATATGTTATTTCATGTTTTTTTAAGTCACGATGTTGTGCAGAGTAGGCACTCTGGTTCCAAAAAAACCCAACACGGTGTGAAGGAAAATTACATCGTCACACATGTATTTAAGTTTTGAATGTATTTTACTTATGTTTCTTTCTTGTTTTACTTTTAAATGTATTGTATGCTTACTGTCATGATATACTCTGAATCATTTCAAATGATGTTGTAAGCTTCCGGTAGAGCACCTTAAAAGCGACATTTCTTGTTGTTCCAGCTTAAACCTCACACACAAACACCCGTAGTTTCTGCACAACTGGATTGCAGAACTATTTGTTTTGTTATTATTGGAATGTGAACAYGTAAGAGACGATGAAATAGGAAGTATAACTGCATTCTAAGGTGTTTTCCCTCTGTTTAAGAACCACAGAACAAGTTTTARCTGAAACTATTGCTGCTCAGATAAAGAACCACTTTTTGTATGGCAGAAATTACCAGTTTTGGGACTGGTTTCTGCTAAAGGTATAAAACATGCTTCACTGGGGCTGTGTCCCCAGACTCAACTTGTATTGCTGTATGCATGTTGACTMTCATTTTATTGCAATAAAATTACCCAGAGACCATTGTAGTGAAGAACTTTTTTGATCATGTATTTCTGCATTTTGTTTAACAGACATGGAAAAGTTGTTTTTCCACCACAATGGCAGCTCTTGTAAAACAGGATCTCATGGCTTTACAACAACAAAAGGAGGAAGCTGTAAGATACTTGTGTGTCAAACAATTTACTACTTATTAGACATGTTCTGTAGGACTAATTTAGTAAGAATAAGAAATAGATTACAGTTTTTTTCCAAACAAAAAAGCATTTATAACTATAGTTTATGYAGAATCTTTGATGTGCATTTCCTGTGAATTAGAGAAAAAAAAACAGTATATCTTATCTGTAATTCTGCAATAAAAATGAGAGAAAAACAAACACACTCACATACAAAGATGGTAAAACAGATAAGTATTGCTAAAAATGGGACTGATCTAGGCCTGTTTTATTCTACCTCTGGCCATTTCTTCCTACAGGCTAGAGAGGAGGAGCCCAATCCTTGAGTTTCCAGGGAGAAAAAGCAATTTCACATAGATAATGCAACCATGGTGAAGCTCCATCTGGCTTTTGCTGATAAGAGCACCCGTGTGACAGAAGAATTTTCCACTCCTTGTGCAATTTGCGCTGTTCATTGAACTTCAGAGAGCCAACAGGCATCCAGACACTCTTAGGGGATCATTCGGTTTAGGGTGGAGGGCTGAAGGGACTACAGCATTGGGTGGGCAAGAGGTCTGAATGATTACGCTACAAAATTTTGGAAAGGAGGTGATGTGGATTCAGAGACCTGAAGGTGATGGATGGGGGTAGTCATTTCTTTTACCTGTGACCAGTTTGTTAACAAGATAGAAATACTTCAGAAAAGACTGTGTAATTTTTGATTTGGTGTCTGTTTGGTGTTGTTATGTAGCTAAAGAGTGACATTCAATTAAATAGGAAACTCTTAAAGCATAGTTATGGAAGCTGCTGATTCATTTTCATTCATCACCATTATTTTTACTAAATATGCATCTGCATCAGTGAATAAACCAACAAAAATAACACAAGAAAATGTATAAATAAAACTCCAGCAAAAGTGGAAATTGCAAGTTCAGGAATGTTTTCCAAATAAGCTCAAAAAGGTAATTTGAAAGTAAAACATCCACAGGAAGCAAACTTGCATAAAGATTATGACAACTGATTTTACATCAGATGCCCAGAAATATACATTTACAGCCACATTAGCACTGTCCTGCAAAACACCTTTAAGATTTTATGAATACACATTATAAACTAGACAGAACAAAGTGCTATAAGTAATGGGGCACCTGTGCCACAGACCCATTCTGTAACATTTTCAATGAATGCACTCTTACCTCGCCACTGAATACATGAAGAGGAAGTCGTTGTCAGGGGAACCTGGGTTCTTGCCATAGTCCATGTATTTTTTCTGCGTGGTGTTCTTGATGTCTTTAATCACCAACTCCATCTCTTTACTCAAGTTGGACTCAGTCTTAAAAAACAAGAAAAATATTCTGATATGTCGGATCCTGAGTAGACATATCAAAATTTCATTTAAAACAATGAATATTGTGCTTCACTATCAAACTTACTGGAAAGAGACCAAGTTTCTCCTGTAGCTCCTCCACCTCTTTAACAAGTACAGTTGTCGTTTTGTTTGTGGGTGTGCGCCATGTGTTGGCTTCTGTACCACGACCGGGGCGACATGGAAGGACACTATTGGCGAATTGTCGGCACAGTGGGCATGTAAATTCACCCTTGTCAACAGAGAAACCCTGGAGGACCTGGTCATTCTGCGGAGAACAAAGGCATTATTAGTCTAATCTCAGAACTTTGGAGAGACAACTAAATCTTTTAAAAGGATCCCCGATTAGTTGTAACATGAGAATTTATTTGATAAACATATATTTTAACTGTAAAATAAAGACTGTAAAAATACTGTAGGCTGTTTAGTTTTGTAAATTTGTAAAAATATATTTTAACACAGATGGAGCCATTTTATTTACACACAAAGCATTCTGGGTGAATGATGAAGTAGATAGGTCCTCGGTGTGAGTGAGCTGAAGATTAACCCTGAAGGTTAAGCTTGGACAATATTTGATGATTGGCTCTTTTAAATGAAACCAGAGAGCGTTGACAGAGAGGAGAAGGTAGAAACGACTCAGCCTGTAACTGAAAATATAGATGGAGGACAACAGAGCTGCTTCATGGAAGAAGAACCTCAGCTTAGCCTGTTAGCCTTTGBGCTAGCGCYGACGCTATATTGCCTTATATGTATTAGCTCAGCGCTAGCACAAAAAACAAGCTAAAATGAGGTCCTCCATCCATATTTTCAGTTACAGGCTGAGTCATTTTTGTGTTCCCCTCTCTGTCATGTGTATGGAGGATCTCAGTGACGAGGAGAATGTGTAGCGCTGAGCTAATACATATATATGGTGATAGCRTCGGGRCTAACRCTWAAGCTAACAGGCTARGCTGAGGTTCTTCTTCCATGAAGCAGCTCTGTTGTCCTCCATCTATATTTTCAGTTACAGGCTGAGTCATTTCTACCTTCTCTCTGTCAACGCTCTCTGGTTTCATTACTTCCACCAAGGGCGAGGTAATGTTTTCGGTCGTGTATGTCTGTCTGTCTGTCTGTCGTTCTGTCTGTCTGTCGGTCTGTCTGTCTGTCGTTCTGTCTGTCTGTCTGTCTGTCTGTCTGTCGTTCTGTCTGTGGACAACATTACTCAAAAACCTGTGGACGGATTGTCACAACATTTTTACCACGTGGGTACTGGGCCAAGGAACACACCTTAAAATTTTGGTGACGTTCCAGATCATGACGCGGATACAGGAATTTTTTTTCTTTTAACACTCTAAGTTCGGCAAAGCTGTGATGCTTTCATAGGGCTTCTGTAAAAAACAGTGAGCTGGATTGGACAGCACAGACTTCAAACTTTATAAAAGTAATGTTAAAACCACATTTAATGATGAATAATTTTTGCCATAATATGTGCATTTACAGAACGTTTTGTGACCAGGAAGTGCGTGACTGCACCATGAAACCTATTTTTCCCATTTCCTCAAACACACCACATTTCCGAAGCAACCAATCAAAACAGTTTCTCACTACTAGGCTTGTAAACAGAGAGCTGCTGGGCCTCAAAGTTTGGAGACGGGGGGAGCCAGGAAGCACTTTATGAAGAGAGTCAAACCATTACAAACTCATACAAGGGGATAAAACAGATGTTTTACATGGTGAAACGTGACTGATGAAAACTTAAGAGCTTAATCCCACACCAGTTTGACGATGAATAACGTCGGGTGATGAGTCTGACTTTTTTTTTCACATTTGACTCCACCGAAAAGAAATTCCRTGCATACTGCCTACTTAAATGTTCGCTCTGTCAGAACTTATTCGGCAAATGTGTTTCCATCTCTGCTTTTGCACATTAACTGTTACAGGATGGTGGAAATTGGTCTTGGCGGAGGTTTGCACTGTCCGAGTGCTTCTAGTTTAAAAGAGTCAATTGTCAGATATTGTCCAAGACTAACCTTTAGGGTGGGTATAGCTCGCTAGCAGCCTTGAACCAAGGAACTATCCACATGATCATTTACCCAGAATGCTTTGCATGTAAATAAAATGGCCCCATCTGTGTAATATATTTTTAAACTTTTAGTTTAAAAATAATAACTAAACAGCCTACATTATTTTTACAGTCTTTATTTTACAGTTAAAATATGTGTTCATCAAATAAAGTCTAATATTACAACTAATCGGGGATCCCTTTAAAAATAAGTGTAAACATGTTCATGACTGATTAATTCCCAAAAACTGATTCAATAATCAATACATATACTGTCTACAATGGTAAAAACATGTTTATACGTAAGCCATCACATCGAAACGAGGATTAAGTCTAAAAATGGTGTTTGGAAAAATAGGCAAATAGTGTTTTGATTAAAAAGTTTGCAAAAACTGTACTATGTCAAAGTATAATAAATAAATGCCTTATCAACAATGTATGACTTGAAGGAACTGTCTGAAATACAATCGTAAAACAAAATTCTGAAGCACTTTTTTGAACAGTAGCAACAAAAACCTGATTTTGAGCAAAAATGCCTTAAAATTTTGAGATTTTCTCTGTGAGCTAGAGATGTTTGTTTCTTTCCAGATGGAAAATCTCAATATTCAAATACTATTTCAAGTTTCCTCTTTACAATGACATTAAAAATTTCTCATTAAAATTACACAAAATTAGGATTCAGACCAAGTATTTTTGTATTATTGTAACCAACAAGACAAATTAAATCATAAATCTGGATCCACATTTGACATCAGAATGAGCCAGGTATCAAAATGTAGCTTTTAAAGCCAGGAATCTGATAATGTGATGAGATCATTTTGACCAAATTTGACTTAATCCTCATTTCGATATGATGGGTCACATATTTCAAAGCTTAAATAATGTCACAAATTTAGTCCTGTTGTGATTATTAAAAAGGTAAGAAATGCTACATAAGATAAAGCTAAGAAACATGATTTTCATATGTATGCATGTGACTACTAAGTTAAATTATTAATTTATATCCATCAAGTCATCACTTCGTAGGACCAGGTTTTTTCTTACCCGCAGAGACTCCATGTAGGACTTATGGCAATCTATATGCAAAGTGTGTCCACAGGTTTGGACATAGACGCCTCCATCCCAGCCGATTGACAAAGACTGAAGACAAGAGCTCTGCAGAAGTCACAAGACAGAAATCACATACATTAGAGTATACAAATAGATCTTCAAGCATTTACCCTGCAGAACATTTCACTTCTTTTGTGTTGCTGTTTGCTATAACATGAAGACATTTATATCAAAAATGTGTAAAAAACAAAACGTCTCCAATTAATCCCTGAAAATTTGTCCATAACATACGTCTTTGAAGAACTGCTGCATCAGTGTGAGCCTGACGTCATTAGCAACGCCGCATGTGTCTGCAGAGTATATATGCTCTTCATCACTTGTAGGTAAATTTTTAGGTTGTTTACTTTTGCAGCGGTGTCCAAGAACTGAAAAATAAGRACAATCAATAAATTAAATAAATAATCAATGAAGGTAGACAAATTCAATAAAAAACAAAACACTCTGACAATGTTCACATCATGATTTAACGATGATAAAAAGGAAAGATTTACAGTTTCTATAGAGTTCTCAGCAACATCTAAAGCAAGCAGTTAAAATCAATGACTAGATGCTAGAGCAAATTAGTCATTGTTTTTGGTTTGGGGCAAAAAAGGCTGAMAGGTGTCAGAGTGACAATACGTTAGACAAAGCTGAAATCTTATTTTCCCACTCAATTATAAGCTCCAATGTTAATAGCARAAAAAAGTGAGCCTAGTTTTTATTTTATATTTTGCTTGGTAGCAATCAAAAGCATTTCTGTTTGAAAAGGGAAAGTACCTGAAGACGCCTGGAGGAGAACCACTAAGCCTGTGGGTCTCTCCTCAGTGGAGGGTCCACTCTGTCCACAGATGACACAGTCATACAGAACCTCAGACTCCATCACTTCAGTCGATCCTAAATCCATGGCTGCCTCAGTCTCTGGAGATTCTGGCAAACAAATAAATGAGAATTTTTTATTTATTATTCATACAAACATAAAATTAGTAACTTAAAAAATGGCTATAAATAATGTTTAGATACCTAGTGGTGTTATTAACCCCCATCAGAGTAAAGGACCCCCAACACTGAAATAACCAAGATCCCTTATATCACCTCTAAGTGATCTTGGTTCCCTTTCAGTCAATACAGTCGGTACAACACATCATGTATGGGAAACCACGCCCCTGCGTGTCCTGGCTGAAGCCACCTCTAATCACGCCTTTAGGCAGGTGACATGATGACGACAGATGTCAGGCTCCGCCTACACATACTGTATATATATATACACTGTCGCCATCACAGTCACTCCTTAGTTCTATTGCTCTTCACCTCGCTAGAACCCCCACCTCTTCCAACCTAGCTAGTTAGCTGMTGCTAGTTAGCTTTGTTTGTTGTAAGGCTCTTAAAGTTAGCATAAATGCTTTTGTTGGTGTCGGCTGCCGCTGCCTACAGGTAAGTGTGTCCGCCCACGGAGCGCTAGCTTTGAGTAGCCTTTCATTTCAACAAAATAGAATATTTTGTGGTTYGGGATGAGCACAAAATTACCTCAAGGAGCAGAGGTCGTCAGTCGCCCCTGTGGGCGCGGCTTCTTGCTCCATGAGAGGGACCAGCACGAGTCTTGCATGGTCTGTCTGGGGGTCGTTCACACTCAGAGAGCGGAGCCCGAAGCATGTGCGTTTCGCCGCCAGCTTCGTCGCTCAACCCTGGAGGGACGGGTTAAGTCCTTAGAAAAATTGCTGGGAGAAACCGTGGTCTCACGAAAAGACCCACTCTTCTCAGAGTCCAGTAACCCGGTTCCATCCGAGTCTGACGAGGAATATTTGTCGGTCAACGTTCCCGCTTCCACTTGGGCGGACCGAGTAGAGTACAGGAGGGGTTAGCCGTTTATATTGGCTTGGATGTTTATCTGTCGAAAGACAACGAGGAACCCGGCCCGGTCTAGATGCACCGCTGCTGCGGAGGCGGACCAGAAGGACACGTCTTTTCTCTCCTTGTGTCGTCGTGCGATTYAGAAAAAAAACCATCGCGGTTCGCGGGATTTTTCTCCCCACTGAACCGACCGTGGTGAAAAACCGTCTTCCCATGTTCCCAGACTTTGTATTGGAGCTGACGTCCTGCTGGAGCAAACCTCTGTCCACCTGCGTCACAGTACCTGGTTGTGGGCAGTATTACTGTGTAGATTTTCTGCTGCGCAGCTTGAAAAATTTTACAAGGCTCAGGCCACCACTGCTCACGGTCTGAGCTCCATTAGCATGCTCCAGACATACCAAGCTATGTCTCTGGCGGAGCTCGGAGCTCTGGTATCGCCCGAGAGTCCTCTGTTACCTCTCTTTAACGAGGTCAGACTCACAGCGGATTACATTCCACGTGCATCCCGCTGTGCAGCGCTCTCCCTGGGCAGAGGGATGGCTTCAACCGTGGTGGCGCAGAGGCATCTGTGGTTGACGCCCTCTGATGTCCCYGACAGAGACCGAGCTGCATATCTGGATGAACCAGTTATGGCTGCTGGGTTATTTGGTCGGTCTCTCGACATCATTCAGACTAAGTTTGAGCTGAGGGGGAAGCAGGCTGAAGCCCTGCACTGTATTGTCTCCAGATGTGACGCGAGACCGAAGACTAGCACACAGAAGCCGGCTGCTCAGCCACCTCCTGTGAAGAGAGCAGTGCTGCCTGGGAGCCTGAGCACCAAGTCAGTACAGCCTCAGAACCGCGACCAACCTCCCCACCATTCGGCTTGGAGCAAGGGCCCCCCTCTGGGTCTTCTGAAGGGCTCGACGCCTCGGAGGAAGAAGACAGTCCTCCTAGCTGTGGGACTGTCACTTCAGGACCAGGGAGACATGATCGCCTGCTATTGGCTGCTGCCCAAAAGACATCTTGTTTGTTTTGTTCAGGGAACCAGCCCCAAGAGGCACTGCGTTTCCCTCACACAGTCTCCCAAGCACCAGTCCCACCCCACTCAAATAGCGTTTGCACTAAAAGCCCCCAGTTTGGGTGCACTAAATGTTCAAAGCACAACTGTTTCTAACGTTTGTGTAAATGTGTCAAAAGTGACAAAGTATAAACTTTACACAAAAATAAATCAAAAAGCTATGGGCGACAGTCAGGTAATGCTACGCCTCTCTCATACGACAGAGGGCATCAGCACATCGCCAATACAAGTTGGTCACCTAGCGATGCCACTCTCTCTCTGGCGCGCATGCGCACCATCCCCCTGGGTGGAAAGAACTGTTGCCATGGGTTACCGGCTACAGTTTCACATAAGGCCGCCTCCTTTCAGCACCGTGGTAAACACTATTGTTGGGATCAAAGCAGCCGTGGTTTTGAGAAAGGAAATAAACATGTTACTGGCAAAAGGTGCCATATGTGTGGTCCCTGCCTCGGACGTGAACAAAGGTTGGTACAGCCGTTATTTTTTCGTCCSAAAACGACGGGGGCCTTCGTCCGATTCTGGACCTGAGTGTGTTAAACATATTTCTACGAACATACAAGTTCAAAATGCTAACACTCAGGCAACTTCTACATTCCGTCAGCCCGGGCGAATGGTTTGCAACCATCAATTTAACAGACACTTACTTTCATGTAGCGATTCACCCGGACCACAGAAAATWTCTGAGGTTTGCGTTCGAGGGTGTAGCCTACGAATACCTGGTACTGCCATTTGGTCTGTCGCTAGCACCCCGYACCTTTTCAAAGYGTGTGGAAGCAGCGTTAGCTCCTCTCAGGGAGAAGGGAGTCCGCCTGTTAAYGTACCTGGACAACTGGGCACTAATAGCCAGCTCCAAGGAGCAGGCTACAGAGCATCTGTCTCAGGTTCTGTCGCACGTTCAGGCTCTGGGTTTTTCTGTAAATTTTCAGAAAAGCTTATTGACTCTGAGTCAGCAGTTTTCTTTCCTCGGGTTAGAAATATGCTCCTTGTCGGGCAGAACGCGTCTCTCAGAAAACAGAGTAACTGCGTTTCACCGCTGCCTCGCTCAGTTTCAACTGGGACGCAAACTGCATTTTCAGACCGTTTTGCAACTGTTGGGCATGATGGCTTCTATGATCGCAGTAGTACCACTCGGCCTGCTAAAAATGCGCTGGTTTCAGCGCTGGTCCCGTTCTCACGGCTGTGTGCATTATGTCACCGCCACAGAAAGCTAATGATAACTGCCTCATGCATGAGGTCTCTCTGCCCTTGGAGGGAACCCGGCCTGCTGTGCCAACCTCACCGAGGGAGAGTGTCCTTTCGCAAGGTGGTATCCACAGATGCCTCCCTGGTGGGGTGGGGGGGCTCTGTGCGATGGTGCGGCAGTGAGCGGGGTTTGGGCTCTGAAGCAGTCTGGACTCCAAATAAACTGCCTGGAATTGTTAGCGGTTCTGTTAACACTGAAACATTTTTATATAGTTCTGAAGAACCAACATGTTCTGATCAGAACAGACAACACGACTGTAATGTCATCCATAAACAGACAGGGGGAACGCGGTCTCTTCCCCTGTTGGAACTGTCTCACACTCTCTTGCAGTGGTGCAGCGTGCATTTCCTGTCTATCAGGGCCACTCACGTTCCTGGGAGACTGAATCTGGGCCCAGATCTACTCTCCAGGGGCGGACTTCTAGTGAGGGAGTGGAGGCTGCATCCCTCAGTGGTGGACCAGATTGGAATCTGTTTGGCAGGGCAGCAGTGGATCTCTTTGCCACAGGGGCCAACATCCACTATCCTCTGTTCTTTTCCATTGCGGATCAGAATGCCCCACTGGGGGTGGACGCTCTAGCCCACCCATGGCCCAACGTACTGCTGTATGCATTTTCCCCAGTGGAGATGATACTGCCTGTACTGGAGAGGGTGCGCAGACAGGGTCTGTCTCTGCTTCTGGTGGCACCCCATTGGCCAGCGAAATCTTGGTATGCCAAGATAATCAGCCTGCTGGCTGCTCAGCCCTGGTAACTTCCTCTTCGCCTAKATCTCCTCTCTCAGGCAAGGGGGGAGATATTTCACCCACACCCAGAGTTGTGGAGGCTGCACACCTACCTGCTGAAAGGTCCTGCTTGCTAGCCAGRGGCCTTCCCCCGGCAGTGGTGGCAACTATCCAGAATGCAAGAGCGCCCTCCACTAGAGGTTTATATACCTACAAGTGGCACACTTCCGAGCGGTGGTGTGAGGTTAGGCACATTGTCCCGTTTCAGTGCTCTATGATGGCTGTTTTAACATTCCTTCAGGAGCTGCTGGATAAAAGGTCTGATTTTTCCACAATTAAGTCTACTTGGCAGTTATTTCTGCTTTCCATGTGGGTTTTGATGGAGTTACGCCTGGTGCTCATCCTCTAGCAGTGTGTTTTCTGAAGGGGGTCCGTAGGCTGCGGCTAGGGTTGGGCATAAATCATATTGTGTGCAATTAATCTTCAGAAAAACAATCGATTACTTTTTGGCACTTGACGATTAATACAATTAATGCCACCAGGCAGAGTCCACTCGGTCCTCTTCTCCGCTTCAAATATGATGAACATTAAAAAAATTCTGTAATTTATTTATCTGTCAACACAATTTAAAATTAGATTTATAGCCTGAAGTCTGTAATTTTGACACAATTTGTAACAGATTTTTATGGAGAGAAAATCTTCCCCACTAAATTGGCCATGTGACCAGGACATAAGTGTGTCCAGGGACTCCAGGGCATTAATCGTCAAATTAATYGTTATCGGCTAAATACCACAATTAATCGTGATTAATGTTTTGGCCAATATTGCCCAATCCTAGCTGCGGCCTGTTATTAAACCCAGTATCCCTACCTGGGATCTTACTGTGGTGCTTGAGGCTCTCTGTGACCCCCACTTTGAGCCCCTGGAGTCTGTGGATTTGAAGTCCCTTTCATTTAAGGTTGTGTTGCTTCTTGCACCAACAACTGTTAAACAGTTCGGGGATCTCCATGCTCTTTCTGTGAATCCCTCCTGTATTCAGTTTTCACCTGATGG